CACGGTCTTATGTGTCTTGCGGCGGTCTTCTTTCTGTCTGATAGAGGGTAGCCATTGTAATTGTCGTAAGGTTAGAGAGAAACTCGATGAATCCGATACTACAATACAATTCTGACTTTCATGAATTCAACCCGCTCATCGAGTCTGTCACAACTATTGCTCCAATATTTAATATATCAAAACTACACTTTCTGTTTAAGACTCGATTCTTTGTTGATCATGGTCCGCACTTTTAGAATTGGTTTATATGAAACCATCTGTCTTGGTAGCAATTGAAGGGCATATAACAAAATGGTATGGTTCAACTAGTTAGTTCCTTTTAACTAGTTAGTTATTGTATTAACAGAATATTAGTTGTTAATCATGTACATTTTTATTGTGATAGATGATATTATATGCGCTCTGTGTCCAAGAGCCCCTTTGCGGGGCCCTCCAACTTCATCTTCTCATTGAATTCCATACGATATCAGAATCTTGTCCCGTGAATTAGGTTTTCCTTATCTTATACCCACGTTCTTTCTTCTCTAGAAAAATCCAATCGGCACGGCCGAATCTTAAGATACCGGAGGTTATACATCTTCTATGATTTCTTCTTCGGCATCCTTTTCCACCAAACGTACCGAATGCTCTTCCAAAAAATCCAGTTGCCATGACCCTTGATATCTACTAACTGAACAACTACTAATACTATCATTAAATGTTTATAATACAAATCCTAACATCATGAACGACTAACATAATAGTAATATCAACAATAGAACAAGAAAACCCTAAATCAATGGTAGAGCCACCCTATGCCCAGGGGAGGCTATAACCCCACTCAACTAGCAAAATCACGTAAATTTACATGTAATTTGGTTAAAATTTTGAGAAATATAGTAATTGGTAAGGCTTTAGCTCTTCTTGTGAATTTGAATTCTCTAATCGTAGATTTTTAGCCCCGCTCGTTGGATTTCTAGCTCCGCCACTGCCCTAAATCACTCTTATCCAAAACCCCGTCCGCCAACATTAGGAAAGGCCATATACAATTATGAATTATCTTATAAATTGCTAATCTAGGCAAATTGCATGTGTTATCCAAATGCTACAAACAAAAGCAGTTTTTTTTTTATCGAGACAACTTGTTGTATTTAATGGCAATTTCTTATTTGTGACAACATAACCAGAGCATCTTCCAAAATTAAGACAGCCTAATTGAATCACCAAACCCACTCATCAATAAGGTTTGCTACTAAAATATTTACAAGTAGACGGGAAAAGGGAACAGAGCATTGGCTGGCAACCTGCTTCACAACACCATCGTCGAGATTCAACGTCTTCTAACTCTGTATTTGTGAGGTTAATGCCTGAGCATGTTTTAAGAGAAGCTAATATTGTAGCGTTCGTACGTCATTCCTTAAGACGTGTATCCATTTTCATATATGATGATGATCAGGGTCCGGGATTTGTCACATTCCCAATTTTGTCGATCGAATTTGTTGTTGTCTGTAAAGGTGCCAACTTGCTCCAAACCCCATTATCCAATTCATCCAATTTCTGCAGCAGCCGGTCCCGGTCGCCGTTGAATAATGAATCAATGTAGACTTCAGACGACTTCAGAGTGCAGAGATCTTACCTGGAAAAGAACCCTCCATCACAATTCCTTCCACAGTTCCACCTATATATAGATCAAGAAAGCCACTGTCCATCTCATTCCAAATCAGAGCAAAGCAACCCTCCACACTGAAAATGTCGCCAGCCATCTTACTCTGCATCTGCTTGCTGTCCCTCTCCACCTTCCCTTCCACTCCCCAAGCCACCGTCCCTCCCTCCGACCGATTCACCTTCAGCAACGATGGCGATTTCGGCGACTACATAGTCGAATACCGCGCGAACTACCGCGTCTCCTCCATCGCCGCCATCCCATTCGAGCTCTGCTTCTACAACACCACTCCAGGGCAGTACACCTTGGCCCTGCGCATGGGCACCGTGAGGTCGGAGGCGCTGATGCGGTGGGTTTGGGAGGCCAATCGCGGCAACCCGGTCGGCGAAAACGCCACATTTTCCCTCGGCGCAAATGGGAACCTCGTCCTTGCACATTCCGACGGCCGAATCGCCTGGCAATCAAACACTGCCAACAAGGGCGTAGTTTCGTTCCAGCTGCTCAACAATGGCAACATGGTGCTGAAAAATTCCAAGGGCGGATTCGTCTGGCAGAGCTTCGATTCACCCACGGACACCCTCTTGGTGGGGCAGTCGCTCCGGGCCGGAGCCGCATCCAAACTGATCAGCCGAGCATCGGTTGAAGAGAACAAGAACGGTGCCTACAGTTTGGTTCTGGAGCCCAAGGACTTGGCCATGTATTTCACTGGGGCAAATAGTCGAACACCTTATCGGTACTTCTCATTCAGCGGGGCAGGCCGCCTCTTCCTCCCGGACAACACCACCACACTCAACACCACTTTCAACGCGAACCTGGATCTCGAGACCAAGGTCACCGATTCCACCGCCGGCGGCGGTGGCACTTTCTTCAAAAACCCGCGGTTCAACACCACTCTGTCGTACCTCCGCCTGGAAATCGACGGCAATTTGAGGATCCACACCTTCATAATCAGCACCGATTCCGACGGGTTCGAGACCCAGCTGTGGGAAATCGCGGTGACCGTGTTCTCCGAAGACGATCCGTGGGCTCTGGAGACGAAATGCCAGCTGCCGGGGCGGTGCGGGGAGTTCGGCGTCTGCGAGAACAGCCAGTGCGTCGGCTGCCCGACTCCGACCGGGCTGCTGGGTTGGAGCAGCGGTTGCACGGCGCCGAAGCTGAGCGACTGCGGCGGCAAGAAGAAGAAGGATTTCAAGTACTTTGAGCTGAAGGGGGTGGATCACTTTGTGGTGAAGTATACGAGAGGCGACGCGCCGGTGAAGCAGCAGTCGTGCGCCGACAAGTGCAGCAAGGATTGCCGGTGCTTGGGGTACTTCTACCACACTGATGCGTCGAGGTGCTGGATTGTTGAGGAGCTGAAGACGATGAGCAGAGTGGCGAATTCGACCCATCTGGCTTATATTAAGACCTCGCTGTAGTGGAATTTCCTTCGCTGATGGCTCGTTTTGTTTTTTTGACCCTTTTGATTTTGTGCCAAAAATGGAATAAAGTTATCTTTTGGGATTTCATTCGACCGGCTTAACAAACTCAGCATTTCAGTTAAACAGGTTGGTGGGTGGTACTGGTAGGGGTGTTCAAACGGATTGGATACCGTGGTAACCATATTAATCGGTAGCATTCAGTTAATTTGGTTTGGTTAATTTGGATAATTGCTATTCATGTATTAGCTTTTATATATTTTACAATAAGAGTGTTGGGATCACACAAGAGTGTAGATTATATATTTTACAATACTCGCTATTCATGTATTAGCTTTTAGAGTTTTCGTCGATACATGTAAACTAATAAGAAATTAAATTACCTATTTTTTCATGGGTGATTTCTTAGATTTTGATTTCTTAACATGATATTAAAGTTTGGTTCTCTGACTAATTACTAGGAAGGAAGCCCGCGCTCTGCGGCGGGGAGATTATATTATGAGATTAGAGAGTTGATAGCGGAAAATCGGAGTAAGTGTGCATATGAATAGTTTCTACGTACATCTCGGATGCATAAGTCTGTTGATGTTGAAGTGCAGGTGTTGCTAAATACTGGATAATATAGGTAAGACAACGGTCGAGCACAACGACTTTCTGCGCAAGTGTTGACTTTTCCATTAGTTTATTGTTAAAGCTGGCTGCGGTCGAATGCAGAAAGTATAGTAAACTCCAGAGGAGTCTGAGCCAGATTTCCAGGTTTAGGGAGTTGCACACAAAACGAAAACCAACATCCATTCATGGCCACAATTTTCGGAGGGAAATGGCCATGGTGGTGGGGGTGCTGCAGCAATAGTTCGGTTGCTGTAACTCCAAGCAAAGATTCAGCGGTCTTTCCAAGTGCGACGAAGCACGCCGAGCCAGTAGTGTCTCCGACAGCCAAATGAATTTTGTAGCTGTAAAAATGTATTAACATTTCAGGGTTGAATTGGGCGTGCCCACTTGACTGATGGGGAAAAGGTGGATTTAAAACTAACCACTTTTCGGTAGCTTCAGGCTTTAGTTGGCCATGGTCTTCACAAAAAAAATCACCAGAGCCAGGAAATTCCCTAGCTGTCTTAAAGCAAAAGGCACATCCTAAGTAGAACCATGATCTTGAAGACTCAGTGGAGAGGACTTGCGCCAAACAATAGTACTGGGTAGCCTGTAGGTAAACAAAACTGGTGAGAAAAGTTAGCTAAGCAGGGAAGAAATTTGTTAGTTTACTGGGGAAAGGGACTGGAAAAACAGATCCATCTAGTGGTGAGGCAGAATACATTCTGAAACATGAAAATAATGGCTGGCTACATTAATAGTGCAGATTATGCTTTAACCTGGCATGTAGTAATAAAACACAGTGCTGTTACAGTAAAAGTTATGTCAAAAGAACGCACGTCAACCATTGGATTCCTGGAAAGGCGGATGAGGTCCATAATTGTCTTGGTACTGTCAGTTCGAAACATTTCCTCTGCAAAAGAAGTGGAAAAGTATGGAGGATAATATCGGATCGTATCTGTACCACCAGTAGACCTACAAATTCGAAAGTATATGAGATAAACGGAAAGTAAATTACTAAAAACGGCAGCTTGTAAGAGACTTACGTAGCACGCAAAACAGTTGCCAAATCAGAGGATGGCTCCAAAACAAACCGTGTGGCGGAGGTGCTGGTTAAAAAAATGCCGCCTTTGGTAAAAGTAGGAAAGCAGATGTGAGGCGTCGTAGAATGGAATAGCAATAGCATTAACTGTGAGGTAGAAAGATGCACTGTAAACCTGCTGTGGCGTTAGTAACTTGAAGACTGCATACACCAAGTATAACAGAGCCCATGCGGCCAAGGTATGCTAGTTCTTCTCCATCTAGTGATCGAGCAACATCGCCACATATGGTGATGTTAACACGTATATTTCTGCAATAGTAAAGTGCAGGCAAGAGGGAGATGATTGGAATTCAGTTAAATCAACTACAAATGGAAAGGTACACAACCGCATTGCACTGAAGACCTTTCGTTCTGCATGACCAGTTTCCGCCTAATAACAGCACCAGTGGACGTTGCTGAACAGGATAACCCGCTCACAGACACAACTCTGCCAACAACATCTACATGTGAAGATGTTTTAAAAGATCGTCAATTCAGTAGTGCAAACATCAGGTGAAGTATATGTGATGATATTACAGTAATTTCCAGGTGAACCTATGAGCTGGTTTGTTGAGCGAGTCAAGCCGCGCAAGGAACTGAAGTGGAAAAACTCAAATGAATCAGCACAGAAACCCGGTGACAACATGGTCACATCCTCAAATATGGTTCCCTGAGAAAGAACCAAACTAAATCTATGCGAGCAAGGGCGGCACATTGGCTGTGATTTTGCCAGCTGGTATCCAGTAACTAAGTAGACACACCCTAGTTGCAAGTGTGCGCCAAATCGGTGACCTAAATCTGGTGTCGCGATGGCCTGGATCAAGGTTCCCTGTTAAACAGGGAGGAGGCGAAGCAAGAGAAATGACCGAGGAGCACAATTTGAGCTGGCAAGTGGAACAAAAAACGTTAAAGGAAATGCTATAGTACCTTGGAATCGGTCCAAAGACTGCAAATTTGTGAGAGGATGGATGAATTTTCTGTATTGCAATAACCCCAAACATGCAAGAGTCGTATCTTGAGAGCAGTTTCTACCCCTTCAGTTCCATTCAAATCCAGAAGCAGCTTTAGCCGAAACATGCCTCTTTTGTGAGGGATTTTGGGGACGAAGAGCGAACCGGATGACACCAGAAGGAAGGCGGAACAGGCACAGTATGCTGATTTAGGATGTTTGTGAGGAAATAACGGAAGAAGAGTAAAGTTGATGAGAGAGGGTGGAAGGTGAGATAAGAGCAGGGATCTTCCTAAACGTTGAATAAAACAACAAAACATAGAAAATTTCTCTCGAACTGTTCAGTGTCTCTGCGGCCCAAAATGATCCAAAATACAATAAACAATGGTCGTAGAAGGAAAGACTAAAAGACAAGTGGTGTGAAGGGAATCTATTACTTTTCAACTGAGGCAACAGTGGTATGTGTAATTATTTTGAGATCTAATATACCAGAACAGTAACGACACAAAAGTGAAGACAGAACAATCCAACACATTTAAAAGAAAGGAACTGCAGAAAGGGCATAGCTCAGACGAATAAAATACGAGCATTCATTGCAAAGTACATTGTTTAGATCTAAACTATTTGGATGGTTGAGCTTAAAGGATAGCTACCATACACAACGTACCAGAACAGTTTCTGTCCAGAATGGAAATAAAGATGGACTATTCCAATTCTCAAAAGATTTAATTAACTAATAATGTTGCAATCTATGTCTTCTGGCCCTGCGTTACTTTGATCCTTCCTCAGGCAACAACCCATTTAACTTCTTAGTTCCAAGAGCTGCAATAAGAACAGACATGTGGGTATTATTGGTGCGCAAAAAATGGTTGTGCCCAAGAACACCAATGTTCCACTGAATGCAAAACAAAAGTAGGAAGGAATGTACCTTCTTTGACTGCAATGTAAGGGCTTTGGTCAGATGCGCAACTTAAGTTCTAGCAATGGGCGAAATGCTTTTGAATCCCAAATCGCAAACATGCGGATGTGTGGTTCATCTGAATCTTCTGATCCCACGATGTACAGTTCTGCCATTAGCTGAACATTGCAGAATGTTTTGAGCAACTCAACTCTCTCGTCATATGGCATCATCTGGAACTCGAGCGGTGGCATACGGATTAGAGCAAGAGCAGGTTGATGATTCAGAACAATTGTTGCAGTGTGATTTCCTGATTCGCATTCAGCCTGCAATTCGTAGTACAATCTAAACGTATACGTAGATTAGAGATGTGGTAGCAATGAATTGTTACTTAACAATAAGGAAAAGAACAGTAGTCGTAGTTTGGAAATACTCAGTGTCTTCAGGAAAAGTTTTGCAGGTCTCAGAACCAAGATGGAACTTAAGTATCTTCAATTTGCATCGATAGAGTATCTGTCATATGGATTGAATTAGGAAAAATGTCAAGTCCAGTTTGTGTGAGTAACTAATAACATTTATTTTGTTGGAAGGCCACCTGAGGATGCTTGATAATTGTAATATATACTTGATTAACAATCTACAGGTGCACAAAGAAGGTAAGGAAAGTCACCTCAGTTTCCATTTCTCCTAATGGAACTTTGGTCTTCAATTCCAGCAATGAAATTCTGGGAGGAATCTTGCGCCGAAGGTATCCAAGGCGCTCCTTCGAGCTGTAGTCAATGATGTCCACTGGCAATCTGTTATGAAAGAACCTAAAAGGTTTGTTGTGTTCAATTAGCTAAATGATAGAAGAAGATGCATATAATGGAAAGAAAGCTGCAAATAGTACAGCATACCTGTTCATTAAAAGATGTGTCGTTTCATTGTATGGGTGGACAATGAGACGGGTCCCAGGAGATGTCACGAAACAAAACGGCGGAATATGGGTGAATTCGTGGACATTTCGGGTGAGGCCTGTTGCTGTAATGATCAGAGGATAATGCACCTCGCTTCCATCAGCACTATGAATGAATTGTTTAATCCGCGTTCCGATGTAGCTCACAAGTCCTTTATTGCCACTATGAAGTTGGAAGACAACTAATGTGTGTTAATACAGACCAATTTGCATTATAACGTATAAAACATAAGCTGATTTCGAAGCATACCTCATGTCTTCAAGATAGATTTGAAACATAAATGTATCAGAATTGACCCTAAGTGGTTCTGTTATGTGCGTCACGCATCCTGTGATTTCTGAAACACGAATCTGGTTGAGTTATTTGGTTGCATGTGGTCTGTAAATATTATATTTAGGGGGAAAAAATATTCTGTGCATCAATTTAAAATGCAGGATGCTGTGTTCAGTTGGCTAAGCAGGAAGAAGAAATACCTGAGTAACAGAGTGGGAGACTTGCAGGAGAAACACTGTAATCACAAAGAAC